CATGGCCAACCGCCCAGGAGGTAATTTCTCGCTTTCTATCTCTCTGTCTGTCTGTCTGTCTGTCTGCCGAGTGCACACGCCTTATAGCAAAAAAAACACTCAAAAAAAAAAAAAAAACTGGGAACCAGCAGTTAGCGTAATGGCTATGTCGCTGGACTCCCACCTAGTCGACCGCGGTTCGTGTCCCGGACCCGGTGGCTTAAAACTCACACCGGGCGCGTGTGCGTGCGTGCCCAAGATCCCGAGAGGAGAATGGAGGAGAAGGGATTGCGGCGTGACCATCCCCCCTGGGGGGCGATTTCTCGCTTTCTGTCTCTATGTCTCTGTCTGTCTGGCGAGCGCACGCGCCCTACAGTGAAAATCTCTCAAAAAAAAAAAAAAAACTAAACAAATAGCATAAAACTCACTAATTCAACTCCTAAGTAATTACTAGAAAGAAATTAAAACAAATATCAACAATAAATGGTCAGAGAAGCAGTATTCATAAAAGCCAAAAAATGGAAAAACCCAAGTGATTGTCAACCAATGAACAGAAAAACAAACTATGGTTATATCCATACAAGAAATGTAAGGCCACGCAGACAACACAGGCAGAACATGAAGAGCTGCCTCTCATGTCTAAGCAAGGCTTGGCTGAGAAGAGCTGCAGGCAAGGCCACAGCCACGAGCTCAACATTTCACATGTGTTTGCTATACTGGTTTGTGCTGTTTTGCTTTCAATCTCCCTGCCATGGGCTTTACTGTCCTTACGGTACCACGGTACCCCATAAGGGAAAAATAACACCCCCAGCCTTACTGTAACTTTTACAATAAAACCAACTATCCTAAAAGAATGTGGACCCCTAAGGTGGCAGTGAACGGGAATTATTTTGTGAGGCCCACCCCACCTGCCTGGGAAATATCAATAAAGAATGCTGCATTCACTTCTCCTACTAGGGATTTCATAGATAGCATTAGAAAGGTTTGGGTTAATGGAAAAATGACTAAATTGGTGAAATGACCTCAGTAGTTGGGAGAGGCTCAGCAGCTCATCCGCGAGGTACTGATACCCCAAACAAAGACCACGAGCTACCTTTGATCTCAGGACAAGGAAAAATTGCTGCTCCCAGAGACATAGCCATTGTATAGAGCAGCACGTAGAGGGTCCCAAGTACACAATAATCTTTAGGTCAATCATTAAGCTGCTTACAAGACCACATTCCTTAACCATATGGGCAAGAGGCTCAGCCCCTTAGCTGTAATATAGCTATTACACTTTAGTATATATTAACCGTGTCCTTACTTAACAAGACAAGATTTCTATCTAGGCCTTTGTAACCGGCAATGCTGCCACCCTACCCTGGGACTGAAGTTATCAAGCTTCCTGAAAGCCCCCTCATCCAAAAGACCCTTCCCAGTAATCAAGGTCTAAGAAGAGAATGCACCAGATAAATGGACTCCCTCACCCTGAGGACTGTGACTGATTACACCTAATCAAACAGAACAGTGCATCATGTTTTATGATTATTGTTTCCATACTTTGAATACCTCGTTTCTTAGAGTAAAATCTTTTACTTCCCCCTCACCTCTCCTACCCTGTAAACATCCCTCAATAAAAATATATGTCTCCTAGCCACAGACGCTGCACTCTTGAGCTTGCCCTGACAGTAGTCGGCTGAGAACATGCTAAACAGCGTAGAGGTCTCTGCCTGAATTTCTTCTTGCCTGCGTCGCTTTCTGTCGAGTCTCAACCCACCCCAGCTGGAGCAGGTCTCTGGCAAACCTCAAAGATTATGCTAAGTGAAAGGCCAGAAACAAAAGGCTATCTATAATGTGAGCCCCTTTACAAGAAGCAACGAGGAGACCAATGGTTTAAGGAGTCAAGATGGGAAAAAGGGTTGACTTGGGACCAGCAGTTAGTGTAATGGCTATGTCGCTGAATTCCCATGTAGTCGACAGCAGTTTGAGTCTTGGACCCGGTGGCTTAAACTCACACTGGGTGTGAGTGCGTGCATGCCCAAGATCCAGAGAGAATGGAGGAGAAGGGATTGCGGCATGACCATCCTCCCTTGGGGGATGGTGATTTCTCACTTTCTATTTCTCTGTCTGTCTCTGTCTTTCTGGTGAGCACACACGCCTTATAGCAAAAAACCTCTCCAAAGGAAAAAAAAAAAAGGAACAAGGGTTGACTGCAAATGGACACAGGAAAGTTAAATGATGAACATGTTCCAGAACACAACTGTAACAATGGCTTAAACATCTGTCAAAAAACTCATCAGGGGACTAGCAGTTAGCGTAATGGCTATGTCGCTGGACTCCCATGTAGTCAACCGCGGTTCGCATCCTAGATCCGGTGGCTTAAAACTCACGCCAGGTGCATGTGCGTGTGTGCCCAAGATCCCGAGAGAAGAATGGAGGAGAAGGGATTGTGGTGTGGCCATTCCCCCAGAGGGTGATTTCTCGCTTTCTGTCTGTCTGTCTGTCTGGCGAGCGCACGTGCCCTAATAGCAAAAACCTCTCAAGAAA